GAAGGCTGATGGTGTGGGCTTTGCCCCAGTGACTCCGAGCACCCCTTTGGTGGGGGCTGTGTCTGGGCTGTTCTGGGAGTGCTGTGTGTGCTGGTAGCACTGGAACCACCCCATCTGGGGGTGCAGAGGTCATGGCTGGGGCTTGATGCCACAGAGGGACAGGAGGGTGCAGCTTGTCTCCATCCAGCTGAATAACTGTGTTATGTGATAGAGGAGCAATTGGCTCACAGGTTGGGCACAGAGTTATAGTGATTGGGGTGACATCAGGCTGGCATGTGTGGGGTTCTGCAGGGCTCCATCCTCGACCCAGTGCTCCTCAACATCTTCATTAATGAGCTGGACACAGGACTGGAAGGAATCCTTACAAACTTACACCAGGAGCTGTCAACTCCCTCCAGGGCAGGGAGGCCCTGCAGAGAGACCTCGACAAATCAGAGAGATGGGCAACCACCAACCATAGGAAGTTCAACAAGGGCAAGTGTCCCATTCTGCACCTGGCATGGGGCAACCCTGGCTGTGTGTATAGACTGGGGAATGAGATGCTGGAAAGCAGCTGTGGGAAGAGACCTGGCAAGTTGAATATGAGTCAGCAGTGCCCTGGCAACCAGGAGGGCCAGCTGTGTCCTGGGGGCATCAGGCCCAGCATCACCAGCTGGGCCAGGGAGGGGATTGTCCCACTCTGCTCTGACCTGGGGCGACCTCACCTTGGATATTGTGTGCAGTTTTGGGCACCACAATGTAAAAAAAGACATTAAGCTATTAGAGAGTGTCCAGAGGAGGCTACGAGGATGGTGAAGGGTCTGGAAGGGAAGTGTTATGAGGAGCAGCTGAGGGCACTTGGTCTGTTCAGCCTGGAGGAGACTGAGGGGAGGCCTCATTGTGGTCTTCAACATCCTCATGAGGGGCAGCAGAGGGGCAGACACTGATCTCTTCACTCTCGTGACCAGTGACATGAGTGGGGATGGGAGGTCTGAGTGGCCACAGCACCTCATCCAGAGTGATGGGGCTGAGCCCCTCAGCTTTCCTCCCCACCAGCTTTCCTTCCCCAGCTTTTCTTCCCTCTTCTCCCCTTTGCTCTGCCATCATCTCCAGCTGAGCAGAGTGTCCCAACCCCAGGCTTGCAGGGCTGGAGGGACCTTAAAGGAGGGTCCCCTGCCTGGAGCAGCTTGAGGTTTGCTGAGCAGAGACCCCCCCTCTCTCCAGGGGCAGCCCCCAGGCAGCAGAAGCCCACAACTGGCTTCTGCAAGACTGGCCAGGAGTGAGTTCCCATGTCTTGCAGGCAGCATTCTTGAGGCCATCACCTCTTTTTGGAGAGAGGGAAGAGTCTGAGTCCCCTCTCCACATGGGGCAGGGAGCGGGGAGAAGCGATGCCCCCAGTCACCAGCCCCCTGCCCCACTCCCAGGCATCTCCCCCCAAACAGTTCTGTTGTATTATAGATTTACCACTAACCCCATCCCCCTGGTGGCATCTTCCTCCGGAACATTTCAGATCTGTAACTTTTATATTAAAGACAAATAAAACACCAATAACGAGCCCGCCTGATGATCCTGTTTACAGTGCATGCACAGTCTGTGGATTAAAGTGACAATCGAATCCGCCTCTGGCACTGGTGTGGCCTCATGTTTTCTCAAGTGCCCCTCGTGGTTTTCCTCTGCCCATGGCTCTTCTTCCCTTTATTTTTCCACTGTAAACCTCTTCCTTCCCTCTGCTGAGATGGTCTTGCCCCAGTACAAGCCCTACACTTGGGAGGGGACATCTACTACCGTCACCTTCCTCTGGGCACTGGTGCTCCCTGTGTTGGGGGTTCTGGCCCCCAAACCCCGCGCTGGCCGGCGCGTGCCCAGCCCGTGCAGCGGCCCCGTGCCGGCAGCCAAGGGCTATAAATAACCCCTAAATAACCCCTGCAGCAGCCGGGGCGGCTGAGCTGCTCCTGCACTATTTTCAGTCCTGAACAGGGTTCAAAATTCCTCTGGAAATAATTGTCACGGGCCAGCTCAGGAGGAGAATGCCCAGACACTGACTGAGCCCTGCGCGACCGTGGGGCCGTGTTCCACGGGCCGGGCAGAGCAGGAGGGAGCTGTGGGGTGTCAGCAGCTCATCCCCCCCCTGCAGCTGCTCAGAGGGGCACCCCCAGGCCTGGGGCCATGTGGACTCCCTGAGGGTCTGGAACCCTGGCACCCACCTGCTTTTGGGAAAGCCTCAATTTCACTGATTACAGGAGACCTTACCGTGAATGTTGTGGTGGACAAAGGCCATGGCAAAGGGGAGATTTGGGAGAGGGAAGGTCCTTGGTGTGCAGAGAAAACAGAAGCTTTGGCTACAGCTGTATTTTATTTCAGCCTTGAAGCAGCAAGGAGGTGGCGATACCGTGTCTGTGTCTGTGTATGTGTGTGCAAAATTACTGGAGAAGTTGCATATGAGAGTTTGTATCTTGCCACATTATTAATGACTGGTGAGGGCTTCCCATACACCTGGGTCTCTCTGTTACACCTCAGCCATTAGCTCTGTCTCCAGCCCCAGTTCTACAGATGCTCCCTGTGCTCCAGAGTCACATTTAGCAGCTCCAAGTGACAGCCCATGGTAATGGGATTCAGCATCCCACAGCAGAGCCTGATCCCGTACATGGTGCCACTGCTCCAACATGAGTCCTTGCCCAGACCTGACTCTGGCATCACTTCAGTCTGGGTTCCTCAGCAGGGCTGAGGGAGTGGGCGAAGGCCCACGTGGCTCTGGAGCAACTCCTTGCCCTGCCAGGAAGGACAGAGCTGCCCCTCTGCCCAGATAACACTTTGTGGTCACCTGTTTCCCAGGACAGCCCCAGCAGGGCTGTGGCCACTTCACCTGTCCGTGCTCCCCAGGGCCATGGTGAGCTGCAAGGAGCCCCTGGCACACACACCATGGCTCTGGGGCTCAGGGTCCCCGATGCCTGTACAGGGTTGCCAGGACACAGATGACCCAAGTGACGGAGACAAACAACCCGAAGAGGAGGCTGAAGAGGATGAGGCACCAGGCCTTTCTGGATGCTGAGAACGCCTGGTCTATGTCCCCACGCCTGATCGCAGCCCGGGTCTGGTGCAAGGGGGAGAAGGGGAGGGGTTAGAAGAGACCCGCAGCACCCAGAGAGGCGGGGGGAGGATGTTTGAGATTGCCAGGTGGGTCCTTACCTCATGAGAGTAGATGAGGGCCATGACCCCAGTCAGCATGCAGCAGCAGACGGTCACCAGCACTGCCTCCACCAGGTAGTCCCTGGGCAGGTCCTGCCTGTAGCCGGCAGGCAATGGCCCCATGCTCGGCTGCCCGGTGTACTGCCCGGTGTACTGCCCGGTGTACTGCCCGGTGTACTGCAGCACGGTAGGGGAGCAGTTAGAGCTGCAAACCCCTGAGTGTGCTGCTCAAGCATCACTTGGGGCACCGCATGTAACCCCATAAACCCAGGAGGGGAGGTAAGGGGTGAACTCACTGCAGAGCAAGACAGAGCACATCAGGGAGGGGGGATACTTACGATGTTGTAGGGCAGGGCCCCAGGCGGGATGGTCTGGGGAGGGAAAGGTCGCGCTCTCTGCCCTGGACTCGGCTGGTAGAAGATGGGCTCCTGCTGGGAGGGCGGGCACGGCGGGCAGTCGAAGCGAACTCTCTTGCGGGCCGGGGACGGGGGCGAGGGCGAGTAGGGCGGCGGGTCCCCCTCGACGGCCGCGTTGGTGGCCGCCTCCACGGGCGTGTCCCCACGGCCCGCGGGGGGGTCCCGGGGGGTGTCAGAGCTGGGCGGCTCCTCGGCGGCCCCCTGCTCCCCCTGCTCCGCTCCTGGGGCCTTGGGAGCGGGGTCGGGGAGTCGAGGGTCGGGGTCGGGGGGTCGGGGGTCGGGGCCGGGGCCCGGGCCCTGCGGCCCGGCTGGCGGGTCACCTTCCATCCCGCGGAGACGCCTGCGGGGACGGGGAGGTTGTGACGGGACAGCCCACCCACCCCAGTGGTCACCCCAAGTGCGGGGCTGGGGCTGCCGAGGGTGAGACCCCTTTGTGCCAGCCCCGGGCCGCCGCGGGAGCCCCGAGCCCCCACTGCCCGTCCCCTGCACCGCCCCGATGTCCCACCCCCGTCCCCACTCACGGCGGTGCCCGGGGGGGTCCCCACCTGCCGCCGCTCGGGGCCCGGACCCCGCAACGGCCCCCGGACCCCGCGACGGCCCCGCCGCGGCCCGCGGGTCCCGCGTGGCCCCAACGGGCGGCGGGAGCGCAGCGCCGGGGCCGGGCCGGTTAATCATTGACCACCTGTTTACCCGGGGCCCAGCGCGGGCGGGGCCGCCCCCAGACTGGCCCTAAGCCCCGGCCCGGGGACCCCCAGATGGAGACCCCCGGGCTGGGACCGCGGGGAGGCGTCCGTGCTGCCCCGGGGAGGGTGTCTGGGGTCCATCGCGGTGCCGCAGCCGATGGAGCCGGCGCTGGGCGCAGGGAGCAGTCAACCGAGCTACACAGCGATTTTTACATGTATAAACATATGATTTGGTTTTATTTTAAAATTTTATATTTTATATTTACACGTAGAACGTGCCGCCTGCGTGTTCCGGTTGTGTCTATTTATCTACAAAATGTATATAAAAATGCATATATTTTATCTACAGCTATTAATACTTGACATGTGTGTGTACGTACCTATATCACAGTACGTGTGTGCGCACACACTGCACACGTCTTATCCCTACGTTACACACCCTCGTGTCTCTGTGTTGTACCTTCAGGTGCTTCTTCACACGCACAGTTCCCACGTACCTGTTCCTTACGTGTGCACTCGGGAACCGGTGTAAGCACAGACACCGACACACAGACAGACACACACACAGTGTGCCGGGATACGGCAGCGCTGTTTGCAACGAGGCGGAGCTGCCTGTCCCTCTGTCCGCCCGTGCCCGCGGCTGAGAACGGACGCGCTCAGCGCACATGGCCACGCCCCATCGACCACGCCCCTAGAAAGCCACGCCCCCTGAGGGTCACGCCCCGCCCCCCGCCCCGCCCCTCACGGTGCCCGTCCCGCCATGGCCTCCGCCGGCGGCCCCGACCCGGAGCGGCCGCACCCGAAGCCCTTCCTCATCGGCGTCAGCGGCGGCACCGCCAGCGGAAAGGTGAGACCCGCCGCGTTCGGGGTCTGTCGGGGCTGAGCTCCTCTCCCCGGGCGCCCCGCGGACCGCGGGCGCTGCGCGGCGCCCGCCCGGGCATCGCCGGTGCCGCTTCCCCCCCCCCCGCAGGAGGGGCTGGGCTGGGCCCGGGCCCCGGCTGAGCCCCCGTCCCGCTCAGTCCACAGTGTGCGAGAAGATCATGGAGCTGCTGGGGCAGAACGAGGTGGAGCAGCGGCAGCGGAAGGTGCTGATCCTGAGCCAGGACAGCTTCTACAAGGTGCTGACGGCCGAGCAGCAGGCCAAGGCGCTCAAGGGGCAGTACAACTTCGACCACCCGGGTGAGCCCCGCGCCGTGCCCCCGGAGCAGGGTGTGCTTGGAGCACGGCAAGGGCCTGTCGGAAATGGGAAGTGCTGGAGAGCAGAAATGCTCTCTCCCCCCCCCACCCACCAAAACATCCGTTCGTCCTTCCCTCGTGCCCGTTGTTACTGACGGCTGGCGCTGCCCTCCTGCAGCCATGGAGAGCTGCGGAGCATCCCGGCCTGCTCCCGGCTCCGGAGAGGCTCTGTAATGCACCACATCATTCCCCAAATCCTTTCCTTATGCTTCTTGTCTGCACAAACAGCTGCTCCCCGGCCCGGGGGAGGATTGCAGGCGGGACAGGGATCTGCCCTTGGCTGCAGTCTGGAGCTGCTGTGGGTGCACAGGGGCGGGTACTGAAACCATTAAGAATGCCTGAGGTTTTCCAACTGGCTCTTGACTAACAGAGTTGCAGGAAACTATACAATTACCGAGTGGTTTGGTGAAACCAACTTCACCTTTGGGTTCTTAATTTTATTGTGCTGTAGTTGCTTATAAACAGCAAATTGCCTCTTCCCTATCTCTGTAACCAAGTACAGCAATTGTCGCTCAGACAGGGAATGTCGGCTGCCAGTAGGGAAGAATAAGCCATAAGTTCTTTTTTTCCTGGTGAAACACTGGGCAAAGAGATTTTCCTTTGGGTCTGGAAAAATCTGGGCTGAACATTTGATACAGCAGCATCTCACACTCCTCCTCTTCGAACCTTCCTCTCACAGATGCTTTCGATAACGATTTGATGCATTCAACCCTGAAAAATATTGTCGAGGGCAAAACAGTTGAGGTACCAACGTACGACTTCGTGACACATTCTCGGTAGGTTCTGGTTTTGTGTCAAGCCTCAGGTGGTGTCTGTGGGTGTCCCAGCCTGGGGATGGGTCTCTTGGTGCTGATGTGACACCCATTTAACAGTGTGCTGTGGGTGTTTTCTCCTGTCAGGCTGGCAGAGACCACGGTGGTCTATCCTGCTGACGTCGTCCTCTTTGAGGGGATCCTGGTTTTCTACAATCAGGACATTCGGGACATGTTCCACCTCCGCCTCTTTGTGGACACGGACTCGGATGTGCGGCTGTCCCGCCGAGGTAACGGCTCCGCCGGCACGGGCAGAACCAGCTCGTGCTCCTTATCCATCCTCAGCCATGTGGCAACACTCAGGGGTTTTATCTCCCCATCCCAGTTCTGCGAGATATGAAACGTGGGAGGGACCTTGAGCAGATCCTCACCCAGTACACCACCTTTGTCAAGCCTGCCTTTGAGGAGTTCTGCTTACCGGTAGGGAATGTTTCACTAATTTGATTTATGGGGCTTTTTCTGGGCACTGGGGAGAGGAGCAGGGTCATCTGGGGATTAACTGCACTGTAGACACAGCAGTGTGGACTCTTGGTATTTTGGTATTTGTATTTCACAAATCCCACGCTCTCCCCTCTACCTCATGTCTTCAACCATTCCCAGCTGGTTGTTAAGGAACTGAAATGGTCCCTTCTGCTGGCGAAGCACCATGGAAATGCCTCCAGCACATTTCCTCACTGCTGGCTGCTGGGGCTATTTTAGCATGGGCCCCTCTGACTGAAACACTCCCACTCTCCGTTTATTCTTAAGACTTGTAGGAAGAAAAAAGAGCTTGGTTTCCAGCAGCCTCTCTCCAAGGGAACACTGGGGAAAACCTGGGACAGACCATTCTAGCACTGTTTGCTGTACTATATAGTGCAGGGACAATTTAGGTGCTCACATAACCAAATTAATTTGTAAAAAAAACCTTTGAGAACAAAATCCTTTATGTGGATTAAATAAGCTGGAAAAGGCTAACTCAGGCTCCTCCTGCTCTAGATCAAAGGAATTCTGGGGCTGTAAAAGTACTCGTTAGAAATGCTGAATTTTGCCAGCTTTTTTCCAAGTAGTGGGGGAAGAAAAAGCAGGAGTGCTGTGGTGGTAAAGATCAGTAAAATGTTATCAGAGGCGGCAGGCAGGAATTTCACATGCACATTGGGTACCTTGGCTCTCAGCAGAGATTTAGCAATGGCTTATGAAATGCTGATTAGGACCAGCTCTTGGCAAACAGACCTTGCCTGAAGTGGTCACTATTTGAAGGCAGCTCAGAAGTGTAAAAACAAGGGCTCTACACCTGACCTGCTGCTTCCACCTGGTGATTCTTTGCAAAGGTACAGTAAGAACAATCCCTGGCCTTAAATCCAGTGCACGTTAGCCACAGTGATGTCTTAATTAATTTAGGTGTAACCATGACTGAGAGCTTTAACTTACAACCCTGGAAGAAACAGAAACCCTCCCTCTTTGCCCCAGTTTTCTGGCCTTTGGTCACTCCTTCCTAGAATGAAGCTGACTTTTCCATTAACAGCCTCCACCACTGTTCCTGTTTTTCAGACAAAGAAGTATGCAGATGTGATCATCCCCCGAGGAGTTGACAACATGGGTAAAAGGGAGTTGGGTTCTCTGATTTCCCTGGGGAGACACCCTTGGGGTTGGGAAGAGAGCGAGTGGCACGTGCTTCTAAGGAAAGGTGTTTTGCTGGAGGGCTGGAGGGGAGGGAGCTGCTCAGCCTGTGGAGGGCTGGAAAAGTGACCCGTGGAGGTCTGACCTCGCTGCAGACAGCAGGCAGAGTTTCATTTAAGGGCTTGTTAAAACTTGAGCAGAGCAGGGCTGGATGCTCCACATTTTCTAGATAACTCAGCCAGGAAAGCCTTCACGTCCCACATTTCCCATTCCTCTCTGCAGTTGCTATAAACCTCATAGTGCAGCACATTCAGGACATCCTGAACGGGGACATCTGCAAGTGGCAGCGAGGGGCGATGAACGGGCACGGCCGGACCTACAAGCGCCCGTTCCCGGAGCCCACGGAGAGCAGCAGTGTCCTGGCAGCAGGAAAACGCTCCCACCTGGAGTCCAGCAGCCGTCCACACTAACCTGGGTTTGCCTCTGGTCCAGACCAACACTGAAGACAACTTTGGGAAAGGACTTCGACAGAATGGTTGGTGAAGTGCCCTTTAAATCATCCTGGCAGTGGAGGGGATCCTGGTGTGAACCTTCTCACAGAGGGGAGAGGATGGAGTTGGCCATCGGCCCCTCTCCCCTCCAAACCCCTCCCTTTTCTCCCTAAGATGTCTGGAATTATGTTACTTGATGAACTGGTTAAAGGCAGTGCTACTTGCCTTTTTTTAATTTTTAAAATGAGATCTACTGCTGAAGACCTCCCTGAAAATTAAACACTATCAGGTGATTAGTAAGATACCCCATTTCCCTGATGATGGGCTTCCTTACCAGGAAAATTATCTGCCTCTTGGGTTTTTTTTCCTCTGTCCCTGTTAATTTTAACAAACAGGTGCAGCCCTTACTCTTCTCCACCTTGTTGGCACCTTGAGTTCTGGCCTTGCTGTGCTGCTGGCCAGCCTGTGGGGGCAGGGGGTTTGACTTGTAGGGGCATCTCTGCCCTGAGATAAGGGTGAGACAGAGACTGTCTGGGAGAAATGGGAACTTGCAGTTCACCAGGGACAGGCCCAAGAAGTTTATTGTCTCTTGATTCCTAATTTATTCCTTTCTAAGCTCCCAAGTCTAGCTACACTGTATGATTATTTTTTTGTACCCAAACAGTCACCTTTACCACAGTTACTGAATGTGTGAGCTCCAGCTGGATTGAGTTGCTCATGGAAACAGAAACCTGACCTTGTCAGTATTAGTGTCTTTTAGTGCATTTCTGTACTGCTGGTTGCAAATTCTGCTGGGCAGAATCTGTCCACTTCCAGAGATGGCTGGTGAGACCAGCAAGGGGGGAAGCTGGGAATGGCAGGACCCTCCTTCTGCTGGCACAGGCAGCTGCCTGGACATGTTGTACCCTCAGACAGGGTCAGAGCGCTTGCCTTGCACTCCAGCAGCTTAAACTCAAGAATGTCTGGTTTTCTAAAACAAGCAGACAAGAAGTATAAACAGTGACATCCCAGTTTCTGTAGTTTACCCCAGATAAGTGATTACAGTAAAGTGTCTGGAAAAAGAAAACATCTGAAATGAAGTGCTGGTTGGGCCTTTGAAATTGTCCTTGTGATACTGTTCTTGAGTCTGGACTTACAGTGTAATTTTAAGAATGAGGGTGGGAGGGAAATGTTATTAAGAGGAACTTTTTCATATTTGCTAGTTTTCTAAAACAGCATCTGGCTGTGTTGGTTGTGGGTGTCTTACTTTGCCTAATAAACAAATGAACGAACAGTGATCAAAAATGACCATTTTATATAAAAGGTAATTGTGCTACTTGGACTACATCAGCAAAAAAGGTACAGAAAGGACACTGCTGGAGGAGCTCTTGTACTCAACAGAATTGTTGCCTTTAGTTCTGTCATGACTGAAGATTTAGGAAAAAAACAAAAAGAACAAACCTAAGAAATGCAGTCTGCACTTTCATCCTGTAGTCTTTTCAACACTGGAAATGGGTGAAGGGTTGGTATCTCAGTGATCTCCTCAGCTGAGTGGTACTTCTGCAGTGCCCAGGAGAAGACAGGTCATTTCCTGACTGCTGCTGGGTGCTGTTTAGCTCAGGGTGACAGACTTAGACTATGAGCTACTGCACTGAAGCATTAGCTCTCAGGGCTGATTACAGTAGGAGCAAAATAGTCACTAAACCCTACTTTGAATGACTGTGGTGTTGGATCATACCTTCCTCTGGAGGCCAGGGGGGAGCTCAAAGCATTTGTTAGAGCCTTGAATAGCATTTGTTAGAGCTGTGAGGAACTCCACAAAGAGCCCCTGCTCTGTGGGGCTGCTGTTCTGGGCAGCTTTGTGCTGTATTAAAGGACCTGCTGCTGCAGCCACATGGAGATAAGAAATGGGATGTGGCCAAAGTACTGTAACCCTGGTTAAATAACTAGAGCCATTACAAATTCCCCACTGGGCAATCCTAGTCCTTCACCTCTGCCTTCCCCCTCCTCTGTGAATTCCTCTGCTAGAACAGGCCATGGTTTGGGTTGCAGTGTTTTTACCCTGAACCCACGTGCACAAGTTAGAGCAGGTTTCCTTCTCAGCAGGATCAGTCCTACCTTGCCCAGAGTTCCTCTTCCCGTGGGATTTGAGGTGTAACCCTGCAGCCCAGTAAATACAATACAGCCAGGGCTGGTAACAGGCCTTTAGGCTTCACATCAATGCCACAAGGCCAGAGGATTCTTCTGGCTCTGGCTGACTTCCTGGCTTGCCCAAAGCCTTGTTTTAGCTTGTTTAGCTGTAACAGTAATTTTCTAATGTCTTTTTATTTTTGCTTCTTAAAAATGATGGTTATGCCAAATGATTACACATAGATAATAGTAACAAGTCATTATTCTATGCAGAATGAACTATTTATAAATGTGGCTTAATGCTGTATTTACATAAATAGGGATGATAGCAGAGCAGTGAAAGTGGGGGCAAATAATGCATTGTTGAGGAATAGAGTCATGGGATGGTGCTGAAGGCTGCAGGGCCAGTTACTGATTGTTAAAGAATGGATAAGCTTCAGAGCGTGGAAAACCTTTTTTTTTTAGGAGTAACAAGAGAAAAATATCTGATGTGTTGGAGAGTGCCTATTTTTCATAACTTTTATCATGGAATTGTAGACCAAGGTGCTGGGAAACACATGAAATAGCCCTCTGTGAAATGCAATTAAAGAAGGAAGAAACCACCACTGTCAGAAAGAGGAAGAAGAAATTGTTGCAGCATGTTCTTCCCAGCAAAGGAGCCTGGGATGCCGTTGCCTGAAGTCAGCAACCTTCAGGCCCTGAGGGGCAGTGGAAGGGTGAATGTAACAGGGGCAGAAACTGGGAATTGTGCTCATAAATGTATTCCTGTTGAGAGCTTTTCTGTAACAGTGCTCTTTTCTTTTCCTGTAATCGTTAGATCTGGACTACTATCAATTACTTGATCCGACTGTTAAGATTTCAGTTATACTAACAATAAATCCTTGGCTTTGCACAAAAGGTGTTTCCTTTTGGCTGTAACACGATTTGTAGTGGTCACTGTTTTCGGATGAGGATGTTCCAGCTGTCCTTCCAGCGCAAGTCCTTGAGTTCCGTCACGGACAGCGCGGGCTGCCCGTAGGTCACGGGGCTGAAGGTGCAGTAGACAAAGTACACTGAGGAGAACCAGGCTACAATCAGTGCACTGAACATGCTCTTGAGCAGCACAGACCTGGGATGAGAGCAGGAAAGAGCAGTCAAGTTACATCAAAGCTGGACGAACACTTCATCCAAAAGGAAGACCTACACCTGGCCTGTTTCTCTAAAGGCAAATGACAGAGTGTGGCCTCTGCTGGAAAAACCACTGCTCTCCCTGCAGCAGCTTGTCCAGGTGACAGCCCTGGAGAAAAGAACTGTGTCACTTCCCTTGTTAAAGAGAACTGTCTCTGTTAAAGCCAAATACCTGCAGAGATGATCACCGAGGTGCTGTAACACGACGGGAATCAGGAGAATCTGGAATGTGAGGGCAGGCAGGTAGTGGTACAGGAAAAGTGTTTTCTCCATCAGGAAGAAGGGCAGGTAGTTCACAACCCAGCCTCCACCACAGACACCCCCAGCTGACACCCAGAGCTGCCAGGAATCTGCAGGAGATGGGAGATGGCATCTCAGAGCAGAGCAAGCCACAACCCTCCACCTGGACACACACACGGAGTGGAATCAGACCTTCAGGGATGTCATAAATCCTCCTCCTCCGTCGGATCAAGTACCACAGGGACAGACACATGTAGACCAGAGCAGCAGCATTAGCTGAAGCCCAGGTGACAACATTCCCAAGGAGGTGGATCTGGGCCTGCAGGATAGATGATGGTCAGCCAGAAGCAGGGACATGCAGTGGTTCTTTTAAGTAAGTTTAAATATTACATACACATACTTGCTAAATTAAACCTCAGAATGTGCCTGGCTAGTAACCTGAAACAAAGCTGGCTGATAAACTTTGCTGCTTTGAGACTCTTTTGTAATGGAAGGCATTTGAAAAATGCTATTGGAGATGAACTCATCTTCTAAATTAGAATCAATAATGGAAACTATTATACTGCAGTTTACCTTTAAAAAAAAGTTCAAGAAGACATGATTTAATTAAAAGTCACTACTGTCAAAGCTGTATCTCATAAAATAAAAACCTCAAACCTCAGGGAAAATACATTAGCAGAGGAAGAGTCCTTGGCTGGAACTGCAGCCCTGCTTGGACTCCCACTCCTGGAGCTCACATGTGAACTGAAGTCTCCTTTCTCACCCGGTTCACAGTTACTTCTGCCTCTTGTACTTACCCCAGAGGTGGGGTGGAGCCAGTAGGCAATATTTGTGTCCATTGTGATCCAGTCCAGAGCAGAGGAGCTGTACTTATGTTCTGTGTCTTCATTTTTTAATGTGAGTATTTTCCACTAGAAAAAAAAAGGAAACAGAAAGCTTTCAGAATGGGAGCAACAGGTGGTTGAACAGTTCCAGATATAAGATGCTAAGTTCCTAACCTGGGAGTGGAGAAAGATTTTGCCTGTCTCACATGGATACTGATCAATACAAAGGTTTTATTTTGTCCTTATATAATGCACTTTCCATGTACCACACATTACAGTTCAGTTTCATGCAGCTTCTGGGTGCCCAACAGATTTTCCTCCCCCTTTTTTGTTACACAATCACTTGGGTATTCATTACTGAACAGCACAGGTCTCTAATGCCCTTATAAGTGCATTCTGAAATATTTTTTTTCAGTGAGGAAGCCAGACTATCAGCAAGGAATAAACAATGGATCCTTAGGCTCAGAGTCTGCAGATACGCTCAGGTTTCTACTCTGCACCAGGAGGAAAGATAAAGGGAATAACAAGACACTCACCTGCAATTCTGTGAACTTTGCCATGAAGCTGAGGTTTTTACTGATGTCCATCTGTGTGGGAGAGTGGAGTTCCACTTCCCTCTCTTTTTGCTCTTGGCCTGGAAGAAAACAGCATAGCTCAGAAATAACGACATAACGGGCAGAAAGCTAGAAAGGGAAGCACACAGGATATACTCCTGGCTCCTCACTCTCCCAGGAGCCCTTCTCCAATACATCATCCAACTGCAACAGCACTCTGAGGGAATTTGTAAGGATTCTGACATCATGACAGGGCCAACTGAACACACATACACACAGTACCACCTTCCCATCAACATGAAGTGTTCCCCAGTCACAGAAATCTGCTGAGACCTACTTTTCCCATATCTGTGCTCTTCCACATTCCACAGCATGCTCTGGTGGTAGCCTTTGGACAGCTTCTCTCCAACCACCTCCAGCTGCCGGTATCCCCACTCGGGCAGAGATGCTCCACTGAGCTGAAAGTGAAAGATGGCTGTGAACCTACAGTGCTGCCAACCTGATCTTCAGGATGGAAGTTCCCAGGCCCTGCCTGGGAGGCCAGCAAGGGATTGCTAGAAAGTGTATGTGAAGAGTCACCATGCAGTGCTGTCTCGACAAATGCTACAGCCATAAAGTCAGTGATTCTGGCAAACTCTGTGAAGAAAAAGATCCTTAACTACTCCAGCTGCTGTCACGTGCTACTCAGACTCAGCATCAAATTCTAAGCCTCAGCAGTGTACAGTGCTCAACCTCCTGAGAAGCAGGACAGCTCTGATGCTAAAAAGGGATGAAATACGACTACCTAAAACACATGCTGGTTTTTTGTCACCCTGAGCAAGTTTATTGTTTCCTTTTATTTACTTATTTGGTTATTTTTGTAGTCGTTTAGTTATTTGGGAGCAGAGAGATGAGTAGTTTGTGAGAATACAAGCACTGCATGAAACAAAAGCTGTAGCACATAAACATAAACCCACTTGCCTTTAGCACTGCAGAGGTGTTGACATGAACAAACCTCACTTCTGACAGAATTGTCTTCCACACATCTGTGTCAGACTCCCGATTTACAATCTCCTACAACAGAAAGATGGCTTTGGATTGTCATGTTGTCCCAGCTGTTTCTGCTGGAACATGATCAGCTCCTCCCCTCCCTTTGACCACTCACCACTCTCCAGAGGTTCTGTGCTGGCATGGAGATGTTATAATCAATATAGCAGGAAACTTCCTGGGAGTGGGGGCTCAGAGGGGCAGCAACATCATGCCTAGAAGACAAGTAAAATAAGATCCTCCACCACCATTTCCCAAATTCATATAAAAAGCAAAACCATATGGGATTGGTTTAGACTGGATTCAGTAATAAAGTGAAAAGTAACTCTCTTATACAGATTGCACTGTTTACTCTGAGAGAGAG